TTAGCCAACTGGATGCTGCTCGACCCCCTCCCCCTAGTGCTTAGGGACGGCCCCAGGTCTCCCTGGCAGCACCTAGGACCTGGAATTCCAGGGCCATCTGCACCCCTCATGACCTCTGCGTCTTGCAAACAATAGAGACCTGGTGGACAGCCTCCCTGCCCTCGAGGCGGCCTACTGAGACGGGAATTCAGAGCAGAGCGGCTCAGGTTCAAGTCCTAGGATCAGATCATGAACGCCTGGGGTGGGGGGCTCACTTTTGGAGGCCGGGTTGAACTCCAGCACCACGAGGGGCTCCGGGCGCTGGGGAGGCCGTCCTGCCTCCTGGTCCTCGGATACGTCCGTCGGTTCTGGGACCCCACAGGACGGAGCAGGGTCGTCTCTGGGGCATCCCCCGGGGGCCGGGTCCCCAGGCTCGGGCTCGGGGAGCACGTCCTCCTCGATAGAATCGTACTCGTCGCTGGAACAGTCCTCCTGGGTCCTCTGCCGGCTGACACGCGCTTCCAGACTCTTCCTGAGTTCCTGCCGAGAGCCGAGAAGACAGGTGGAGGGCCAGGCCGGTGCCAGGAGGGAGCCTCACTTGACAGACAGGTCACGCCACCCCAGGAGCTGTCCCCCCAGCGGACGTCTACTAACAACCTCTGTGTGTGTCGCCGCTCCCCAAGTTCAGGAGGGAGCAGCGTCTACGGCAGGGATCAGCAGGGATGGAGACGCCACCAGAACACAGAGGGGAGAGGGAGCGGAAGAGAGGATGCGGTGGGTGCTGGGCTTGTCACCACAGACCCCGGGCCACACCCAGACTTTCTGAGCCAGCAGGTCTGTGACGGGGCCTGAGAATTCACATTCCTAATCAGGCAACCCTGGTGCTGAATGGAAAATCGTATTGAATACGAAATTCCAGGGTCCTCCACACGACCTGGAAGTCCAGAGGTAAAACATGGCAGAGCAGGCCGTCCCCACGTTGCAGGACGCTTCAGCAGAGCCTCCAAGTGTCCCCACGGTGAGCACTGAGCTGCATTTGCCTGGGGATCTTCCCGGGCTTCCTTTGTCTCCCTGAGACCAGGCCACGCGTCAGGATCCCCACTTTAGCACTTATTCTAACGGCCTGATAATTCTTATGGGTTTCTTTTGTCCCCATGAGACAGTAGGCTGAGCATTAAATTCTATATTTAGAGTGACCAGAAACCCATCAGCCAAACCACGACACTTCTGAAAGGGGAAAAAGGGCACTTTACATTTTATTCTGGGACCAAAAAAGACACACTAGACCTGGGGCCAACCTCGGTCGGCCACCCTGCGTCCTCACAGCCCCCACACGGCCCTGAGAAAGGGAGAAGCAATCGATGGAGGTTTGATGACTGGCTAATAAACCTAGCAGCGTGGTAGGCTGGATGACGGCTCCCAAGGATGTCCCCGACCTAGTCCTGGTGCCTGGGAACGAGCAGGGCTGAGCGGGGAGGGCTACTGCGAAGGCAGCTTTGATCAACTTCGAGAAAGCATCCTAGACAGACGGATGGTGGGAAGATGGGCATCAATGTGCTGCTGTTGGGAACTCTGGCAATGAGAGGGTCTGACTCTGTCACAGCAGGATCTTGGCTGAACTGTGTCCTAGGTGGGCGGGGGACTCGGATGTTAGCTCAGGAGGCTTCCAAGTGCAGAGCTAAAGGTAAGCTCTGGCTTCCCCAGGAGGACACCGGCCGAGAGGAGCTGTTAGGAACCTGGACGGAGGTTGGGGAGGGTCTCAGCCCGGCTGCCAAAGATGCTGAGAGGAGATCGGGGACACAACCAGGACTGGCTGAGGGGCCTCTGCTGCAGCCTGAAGTGACTCAGGGGCCACCGGGGAGGAGAAGCCCTCTCCTCTCAGAAGCCGACAGTGCCTAAGGCGGAAGTTGCAGATGGCACCCCAGGGCCAAATCTGACCAGCAGGTCTACTCCACTCAGTCCCCAGAAAATTGTGAACTGATTAACCAAAAAAAAAAAAAAAGGGAAAAAAATCAAACACCAAGAAACGCAGGCACCTGGCTTTTCTTAAAACCAGAAAGCCGACAAGGATCTGTCTGTCTCTCCCCATGGCCGCATTGGCTGTGACTGTCCCCCAGGTCCCCGCCACTCCCTCCCAGGGCACGTGCTGTGGCTGGGGACATCCCCCTGCCTCACGTGCCACTTAAAACATTCTTTGGAATGAACGCCAAGGGCCAGAGGTCCCAGGACCACCCCACGTTTCCCAAACGGGCACCTCAACCCCGAACAGCACAAGGATTTTTTTTTGTCAGATTCTGTGACCTGATCCATACTCTGGGAAACACTGTCCCCGTGATGTGACAACTGGACGCAGCCTGTGTGGCCCACACTGACTCTGACCCTCGATTATTCGACTCACTTCTCCACAAAGATTCACTCACAGCTAACTCCAGACGAGGCCCTCCTCTAGGGACCAGAGGCACAGTGGGGACGGGACAGGGTGTGTCTGCTGTCCCCAAGCTTGATGGGGAAGGGGCACGCCTGTTCTGAGTAGCACACGTCTAACTCACAAGACGGCCATGGCAGTCCGGGGACAAGAGGGGCGTGGGCTACGTGTGGACAGGGTTTCCTTGAAACCTGACCGAGGACTCACAATCTCAGTGCTGGCGGCGACAGAGACAGCCAACCTCCTAGTTGGAGGAGGAAATGGGGCTCCAAAGTGGGGATTCAGCCCCGGCCCCGTTAAGGGAGCTGTAGTGTCACTCAGGAGGGCCTAGGGGCCACTGCGAACGCGAGGCGCACGCTCAGATTACGTTTTTCAGTTCAAAATAAATCAGTGACAAAGGTGAGCGCGGCCCGGACGGCCAGCCACACACACCCGGGGCCCAGCTGCCTCCTGGTCCTGGCCCAGCCTCCCCGGCGGCCAAGCCCCTCCCACAAGCACAGTCCTGTCCACCCTGAGCTTGGGCGTCCACCCTGAGCTTGGGCGTCCACCCTGAGCTGGGCATGTTGAGACTCTGCTTCACATCTCTGTCCTCTCTGCATTGTTTTCCCAAGTGTGAGCCACACCCCCCAACACACACACCCCCACACACACCCCTGCACTGGGCTGATCTCAGGGGTGCTCTGCACTGAGCTGACTCCAGCTTCTGTCATTTTGATTCGGGGTCTCACTAAACTGCCCACACCAATCTCAATCCATATGCAAATGACCGGTGGCCTCTCTACTGTGGATTTTGTCTTTAAAACACCTTAAGACTTGTCAGACCCCGGATTGCGCATCAGTCGGCCTGGGCTGGCGAATTCTCAGTCGCAACTGATCAGTCCAAGTAAACTCCCGTTCCTGATCAATGTGCCTCAGTCTCACGGGGATCAATGGCTTTGTATGATACGGCAGAGCCTTTGATCAGACCGTTCAGACTTCCAAAGCACAGAGTACACAGCATCTCGAGGAAAAAAAACAAAAACAAAAACCAGAAAACCCCAAACCCTCCCTCATCCACTGAGGCATCCAGGACCCTTCTGGTCGCTCCAACGAGCCAAGAGTTCTTTTGTTAAAAAATGTGCCCCGTCCTACATACAAATCCTGTGGCTTCAAACTCAGCCCCGACACATTTAAACAACTCCCCTAAGTGCTTCTTCGTGTACCAGATTCTGAGAACCGCCGTCTCCTTCCCTTTTAACTGGTTTTCAGACTTGGCCATAAATCATAGTCACAGGGAAACTGAAAAGGAGGAGCCCAGGATCAGAACTGCCGGGAGGCGGGGGAGCGCATTTGTGTGGGGTCTGTGTGTCTGTCTGTCTCTTTGCTTTTTATCTTGAGCTAATCTAGATCTCGCCTGCGATCTGTGGGGACCAATGTGGAGAGATCCCACATCCCACCCCCCAGCCGCCCCAGGGGTGACGTCCTGGAGAGGAGGAGCGGAAACTCAGTGGGGACCTGAGCTGGACACGGTGGCCGGCCAGGCTTTGTCCCCAGGCCTGTTTCCCGTCATCCCCCCCCACCCCCTGAGCTCAGCACGGTTCTGCTGACGCGGCTCTTTGCCTCCGGACGTATCAGCTCTTTTTTTAACTTATAATTTCGAAAAATGGAAAACCCACAGAAAATTGGCCACAGTGTGCGATGGCCACCAGCTGTGGCCTCCTGACGAGGGCCAGTCACTGTCCTCCCGCTCGTCTCTCCTCCCGATCGTCACGAGTGCTCCTCATTCTGACCCCCACAGACGCTGGTTTCTGACACTGTGACCTGGCCTCACCCTTGGGGACGGTCTCCTGAGAACAGGGAGCTCTCCTGCACGGCCACCGCATGGACCTCACACTCAGGCAACCGAGCACCTCGGCAGCCTCACACGGATGGAGTCCACCCTCAACTGTTGCCCGCTGCCCCAGGCCATCTGGATCAGCTCCCCCTCCTCAGGGTGCACAATGGCCACCTCTCTTTGCCACCCTTTAATCCGGGACAGCCCCTGACCTTCTTGGTCTCTCATGCCGCTGATGTTGGTGAAGACCCTAGGCCAGGTGTCTGGGAGACTGTCCCTCCACTGGGGACTGTCTGGTTATTTCTCATTCGTTCCGTTTCTGCAAAACACTTTCCACTGATGGGCTCGGCTAAGGGGTCACCGGGAGGCATCTGGCTAAGGGGCTCCTCCCTGTTGCTGTTTAGAACACTATTAAGCATGACTGATGGACGGCCACCTCGGACACCCTGCTCCCAGGGAGGGCATCGGTCATGGTCATGCAGACGGTGGCGAGTTCTCAAGCAGAAGAAGGCCTGTGACATCAGCACCAAAGGGCCGGCAGCGGGAGCCTGGGCTCCGATGTCGGCTCCCCTCCGACCCAGGTGAGTGACATCATTTCTCTGCCCCTCAATGTCCTCAAGCCGTAACAGGGAATGGGAACTCCCAGCCTGAATGAACCCCGGGGTAACCTGGCAACGGACGTGACGTGCTCAACGGGGTTCTCAGCACTTAGTAAGTGCTCACTTAACGTGGACGCCCACCATTAAGAAATGTCATGCAGGCGCTGGGGCGGGGGCTCAGCGGCAGAGCGCTTGCCTGGCACGTTTGAGGCCCTGGGTTCGATCCTCAGCACCACATAAAAGTAAATCAGTGAACAAAGACTGTGTCCACCTACAACTAAAAAAATTAAAAATAATAAAAAAAATAAGCCAACGCCTCTGAGAATCTGGACTTTCCCAGAATCACTCAGGGCAGCCCAGGACCCCGCTGCCTCACGGCTGACCTTGACCTACCGTCACATCCTGAATCGTGAGGAGGATCCTGTCCTTGTCAGTGCTGCCTGGAGGCTCGGGGTGCTCTCGCGCCTTCAGGAGGGAGAACCTGAAGTCACAGCGTGTGGTGCGCGGGGGAGACTTGGAATCCTGGGGACAAGCAGAGAGGACCTGCGTGTTACAAGCGACGTCCCATACGGACCCTGGAGGCCGCCGGCGCCAGGCTCTCCTGTGGGCCTCCCCGCCCTCCATCCTCCTCCTCAGTACGCCCTCCCCCGCCCCAGAGCTGGTCCCCCGCGCCCTCCCTGCTGGCCCAGTGCCACCGCAGGTGCACAGCGGGTGAGGGCACCAGGTGTCACATCCGGGCCCCCAGCTCCTGCCGCTGTGCCCTCAGCCCTGGGCTACAGGAAGGTCGGGAGAGCTGGCCTGGGGACGTGGCCGTGGGGCTACGGAGTTGACAGTGAGCTCCTCAAGGGGACGGACAGTGTGGTCCCTGTTACTCGGCTGTTACAGGGTCGTCCCAGACCTCAGGGGCACCCAAGCCAGGGAACTGCGCTACGAGTGACCCCGCGGCTTTCCAGTTCCGCTGTTGGAATCAACCAGAGTCCAGGGAGGGGACACACCGAGAGCCCTTTGGAGGCCAGTGGGCACTGGGACGCTGGGCAGGATGGCCTTCCCACGCCCAGATGGGCCCGTGGTCACAACAGCCGTGGGGGGTGGATATCCCCGTGGGAAGTCCCGTGTCACCTGGCTTATTTATCACCAGGATTTTTATATCAGTTGTGCATTATCTGGGAAATAAGACATTTTAATAGGGGAAAAAGTCCTTCATCTCATTCCCGACATGTGATCAGAGCTGCTCCTGTACGTGGAAATGACGCCACCCATCGCGGCACACTGCCCGGGTTCCAAGGGAAGGGGACAGCAGACCCAGCACCTGGTGGAACTCTCTGGAAAGAGGTACCTTCTCTTCACCGGTTGTTCAAGTGCTCAAATCCCTGTCATGGCTTCCTGTCTGACATAAGGAAAAGCCCACATCTTTACCGCGGCCCTCACGCCCTCTGCAATCTGACCCTCCTCCTCTTTCTCACCCCTCCTTCCCCGCTGGCTCCCTGTCTCAGGGCCTTTGCACCTGCTACCCCTGGGCCTAGGAGTCTCTGCTCCACCTGGCTCACTCCCTCACTCCCTGGAGGTCTCCATGGAGCTATCACTTGTCAAAGGGAAGTCCCTGTCCAGCCACTCCGTATAAAACAGCAGCCTGCCTGTCTATCTGAGCCCCTCCTGACATATTATTCACTTCTCTAGCGTCTCTGTCTCCAGCATGTGGCCTGGGGACACCTGGGGCTTGCACACCTGTCCCGCGGGACAGCTGCCTGGTTCTCAGGCAGGAACGTGGAGCCCAGACCTTCCCACAGTTCAAGAGAAGACCCTGATTCAGACTGTCACTCGGAACCTCCTGCTCTAATGTCACCCAGTCACCCGCATTTTAAAAATCGCCGAGCAGGGGACGAGGTGGAGGCCAACGGGCCACGCCCGCAGCACCGTGGGCGCAGGGCCGCCCAGAAGCTGGAGTTCCCAGCCCCGGGGCTGGGAGCGAGGCCAGGGAGGCCCCTCCAGGTGGCGGGGGCAGGAGAGAGGACAATCAGACCCTCTGCGGGGGGCTGTGCCCAGGAAGGCTGGTGAGGCTGGCGCTGCGTGGCAGGGAGCGCGGAGCTGGCAGAAGACGTGGTGCTCGCTAACACAGCTGCCAGGCCAGCCAGAGGGACAGCTGGGGGACCCTAACGCAGCGTGTGTGTGGGGAGGGTGTTCTGATGGCGGCCACAGCGCCACCTGCTTGACCCTGCTCTGTGGACTGCGTAGGGAGACAAGGTCACTGACAGGTCGTGGGACAGAAAATGGCTTTTTTTTTTTGCAACCAGGATGTGAACAAGGTGACCCCTGGCCCCTACCTGCCCCTCTCCCAGAGCCAACGAGGAGACCCAAACACAGGCACAGAACCAGGGGTGTCTCCGGGACCACACCCCCCTGTCTTTTAGGGGCCACTTTCATTTTGTAAAAGCAGTTTGGGGTTCAGAAGCGACAAGCAGAAGCAAGACTGCGCCCAGGGTGAGGCTGTGGGACCTGCAGCCGGGTCCGCGGCCGACAAAGCTGCTCGGGCAAAGGTGGCAGGTCCTGCTCAGAACGCGGCTCTCGTGGGCCCCCTCTAGGTGAGTTGGCTTCCTGTAACCTTGGAGGTAACTGCCCCATTCCTTTTAACTATAAAAGCAACAACCTTAGAATAAGTCCCGACTGTCCATCCCCACTTCCATGTGCCAGCCCAAGCCTACTGCTGGCTGCCTGGTCGGACCCATAGCCCCTCCTACCTCAGTCTGTTCCCCTTGATCAAGCCATGCCTGCACACTGCCCCTGAACAAGCCCAGCCTCAGTGCATCTGTGCTAGCTGTTCCCTCTGCCTGACCTGCTTTTCCCATCGCTCCTTGCCTGGTGTTCCTTCTTACCCATCAGGTGTCAGCTGAAGTGCCACACCTGAGGCCTCCTTTCTCCTCTGTCCTGACTAATGTCACTCTCTACCCACAGGTCCCCCTCGCCCTGCCAGGCCCCCTCACCCCACAGCTCCCTCTCGCGTGCGGGGACTGATGCCCTGGCCCTGTCCACACCAGTCCTGCTGACCGCTGACCCCAGATGCCTCTGGACACTGGTCTCTAGCTGCTCTGTGTGGAGACGGACGTCAGAATGAGGGACGGCGGAGGTGAGGGACGGGACCCCTAGGACGCGGCACCCTGCGCACAGACCAAGGCAGCCCCTACCTGTGGACGGTCTCCAGAAGTGTCCTTTGCCTCGACAGTCACATCCTCCAAGGGCTCAAAATCTTCGGAATAGTCCAGAGGAGGCTGGATGTGGAGCCGGGAGCCAGCTTCTGTTCGGATCTGCACTGATTTCTGTGCCGAGAAATTCAGACCGTCTCAGACCCGGGGACGCGCACCTTCATCCTGCTCGGGGGCAAGGACGGGTGCTGGGGCCCACCCCGGGGATCAGACCTAGTGCTGCTGTGCCCTGGTGCCACGGCGGTGCGTCATGGTGGATGCTGATCCCTGGGCCAGCCTGGACCTCGCACAGCCCAGTGCAGCCAGGTCGGGCCACCTCGGCTCAAGAGTCCATCGTCTCTGGCCCGGCAGCGCACGCCTGGGGGCCCAGCCACTCAGGAGGCGGAGGCAGGGGGATCACAGGTTTGGGGCCTATCTGGACAACTAGGGAGGCCCCGTCTCAAAGTCAAATACAGCATGCGAGGGGCGTGGCCCAGTGGCAGAGCCCTGGGTTCAATCCCCAGAACGGAGAAGGGAGAGTCGACCATTTCCAGCTGGAACTTCTGAAGAGCGTCCAAGAGTGTCCAGCCAGACTTTTTAAATAGCTTTTTTTGGTTCCAGGGATTGAGGGGTGCTCAGCCACGGAGCCCCACCCCCAGCCCTATGCTGTATTTTATCTAGAGACAGGGTCTCGCTGAGTTGCTTAGGGCCTCACTGTTGCTGAGGCTGGCCTTGAACTCGCGATCCTCGTGCCTCAGCCTCCCGAGCCCCTGGGATTGCAGGCGTGTGCCACCTCATGTACGGGCACTTGTCACCTGTGGCTATCACCACAGCTCACTTTGGTGAGGGCCTGGGTCTTAGACCCGGGCAGCTTGGCTAGATTCCTGGGACTCTGATCTATTCTCCATGTGACTCCGGGCAAGTGGCACCATCTCCCCGGGCACCAGCTCCCAGATCTGTTGAGAGGGCACCCGGGGGCTCTGTCCAGGGCTGCTGGGAGGCTGACAGGCCGCGCCGCGGTCACCACTGAGCCCTGGCCTGGCTCCCCTGGGGTGTGTGCTGCACTCAACCCGAGCCTCCAGGAGGCCAGTCTGCTGGGCAGTGGGAAAGTGTCCCCATCCCTGAGGTCCAGCTGGCTGTGCTACGCTCCACCAGAAGGGCCTGGGCTTGGCTAGGTGATGCCCAGGTGACATCTGGGAGCTGTCCTCCAGGGCTGACCTGCAGGTGCATGTGTCTGAGTGGTGTGGCTAGTCCACTGCAGTGCCCCCTGGCCCTGTCCTGGTCCCATGAGGGAAACTCCAGATGACCTGGGCCGTACGTGTCCCGTGCCCTCATGTGAGAACCTGTCTGGGACATTTAACGTCCCCTTACACGCAGGAAACGGAGCCATGAAGTGAGGCTGAGGGACGTGGCCCTCCAGGTGCTCGGCCCCCGACTGTCCCCGCATCCTGCACCATCCCTGCTTTCACCAACCCCCTGTCACTTAACGTGGCCTGAGTGCCACCTACGCACCTCAGACGAATCTGCCGGTTAAGCCCTTGCCACGACCCAGGTACCAGGGACAAGGCCACCCAGCTGGCAGCCAGAGCCACGAGCCGGAGCCTCGCCTGGGACCTGCAGCGTGGCTCCAGAGGCCCGGCTCCCACCACAAAGCTGCCATGTCCTCCGCAGGCCCCAGAGGAGGTGCTTCGGGACTCGCCGACCACATGGTCCCCAGGCAGCGTCCACCTGTCCCGAGGCAGCTGCAAGGCAGGGACGGTGCCCAGGAGCAGCTGAGGGCTATGCTCCTGTCATACAGGCCACAGCTGCCCAGGGGTGCAGTGCTGGCCAGCCCCGGCCTGAGCCAGGTGGCCCCGTTGGATGGCCTTGGCCTCTGGAGAGCAGAGGGGCTGAGGATGTCCTGTAGACAGCTCACACTGCAGGCAGGGCCTGGGCTACGGCACCAGGGGGAGGCATGGGGAGAGGCCTGAGGGGCACCAGGGGCTCCCCGTCGGGGGGCGGGGGCAGAGGCAGAGCAGAGCTGCTGCAGGAGGCGACCTCCTGAAGGACACTGACGGGGCCCCTCCTGGCCCTGAGTGCCCGGTGACAGCGCTGGAACCACATTCCCTCCATTCCTCTCACTGCCTGCCTCGGCCATCTACCATGCTGCCCGGGCTCCAGGATGTGAAGTGGCAGCCCCAGGTCTGTCACCTGGAGAGAAAACACCACTGGGCAGGGGAGTTCGGGGCACAGCATTCCCAGCGGCCTTCCGGCCTCAGCTGGAGAAGCTGGGAGGGCTTCACACTGACCACGAGATGGACGCCCCTTGACTTGTTGGGAAGAACGCACCCCCCGCCGGGCGTTCTGTATCCCAGCAGCCAGGGAGGCTGAGGCAGGAGGATCCCGAGTTTAAAGCCAGGGGCCTCCTAGTCAGGAAGACATATGAGAAGAAGGGGGAGGGAGTCCATGCAGGGCTGGGCCTGGGCCAGGCCGGAGGAAGAGCCCGGCTCACCAGCCTCAGTGAGGGCCTGGGTGCCACCAGGGCCTGCTACTCCAGGGGCACCCCATGGCCAGCCCATTGTTCCCTCCTGGGAATCTGGGAAGTGTAGAGTCTCAGGTCCCCCCTGTGCCCCAAGAATCAGAATGTGCACTCCAACAGCACTGGACGTGCCCCTGCCCGCCCAGACGCACCCCCTGCCTGCTGGTAAGAGCACCTGGTTTTCTTTTGGGAAATCCTCTCCACTCCCTGCCCCCAAACCTAGTGTTTCATGTGGAACTGGGTCCCCACCACCGGGGGGAAAGGGAGCATGTGATCCAACAGGGTCCATCAGAGCAGGAGACCCCCTGGCCCACTGTGACTGGGTGTTCATTGTGGGGAGCAGATGGGGGGCAACAGCAAGGTGACAGGATGTAAGTGGGCAGCTGCTGGTGGCCTTGTGGTATCCCATGGGGCACAGGGGAAAGCAAGGCTGAGACATGGAGAGGAATCCTGTTCGTGGTCTGAGCTCCTGGACCAAGCCGCACCTGAATGTAAGCTGGCAAGAAAGGGAGTCAGACGGCACAGCTCGGTGGCCTCGGATTTGAATCCAAAACCAGCAGAGGCGCAGGAGGGCCAGCTCTCTCCTCTGCGGACCCCAGCCTCCGACCCAGCAGCTCTCCACGGCTGCTCAGTTCAGGGGCTCCAAGCTGCAGGCACAGGTCAGCAGTGGCCTTAAAGCACTGACTGCGAACAGGGCTCCGCAAACGTGGGAAGATACAAGGAAAAAACCGAACACTTAAAAACCAATGCCCCAACCTCAGGGAGTTCACAGCGGAGACCGAGCTTAGGAAGCAGCGTGGACAAAGCGGTGTTCCTATCAGAGTTTCTCGTACCAGGGCTGGGGCTGTGGCTCAGCTGCAGGGCGCTCACCTTGCATGTGCAAGACCCTGGGTTCCGTCCTCAGCACCACATAAAAATAAAATAAAGATGTTGTGTCTGCCAAGAACTAAAAAATGAATATTTAAAAATTCTCTCTCTCTCTTAAAAAAAAAAATAAAGGTATTATGTCTAACTACAAAAAAAAAAAAAAAGAATTTCTCATCCAAGTGGCTCAGTGGGTAACAAACACGCCCGCCCTCTGCCTGCGCTCCACCCCCAGACCCGGGGAGCCTCCCCTGCCCCCCAGTGGGAGGAGACTGGAGCAGCCCCGCCCACACCTACCAGCAGCTCCGCCCCCACCGCCCCCTCGCACCCACGCTCCCTGCCTCCCACCAGCCGACCCGGCTCCGGATGAGGCCACCCTCTGGGCTGGGGGTTCTGGGCTGGGGGTTCGCAGCTGCTCTCTCCTGCCCACTGCGTGCCAGGCCTGGGTAGACGCGGGCAGTGTATACCCCGAGGAGGGCTGAAAACCCTTGACCCCCAAGCCCCCTGTTCTGGTCACCAGCCCAAGGCCAGCTTGACCGAGCCCCAGCCCACTCAGCCCGTCCATGCGCAGTTATAGGGATCCCGAGGCCTGTGTTCAAGCTCATTGTCAAGTACACAAAAGAGCAGCGCAGGGCTGCCCCGTAGGGTTGTGCGGGTTGCGCGGTATGTCAGCGGCTCCCTCTAGAGGCGGAAGAGCTCTGCCAAGACCCGCTTGGCAGAGTTGGGGGTGCAGGTTGGGGGTGCAAGTCTGTGTGCCTGCGGGGACCTCTTCTTTCCAAATTTGTCTGACCTCAAAAAAAAAAAATTCTTGACACTAGCGCAGTCTAGACCGTGAAGTCTCGGGGGGCTGAAAGCCTGGGGCTCTGTGGGCGGTTTCCCCTTCTGTCCTCAGGTGTTCAGAGCTCAGAAGGAGGGGACCAAGAGCAGGCCCGAGGGGACCAAGGGAGAAAGGAAGCCAGCTATGGCGGCTGAGGGAGAGGCAAGCCCTGCCTTCAGTGCAGGGAGCCTGCTGCCTGGACCTTTAAGGAAAGCCCACCCCGTGGTGAAGCCCGCAGGGCCGTCCCTTCACTACCAATTTAATGCCAAGAGCGCTGACGTTCATCAAATCTGACAGCGTTTTGGTAAACGACGGCTCTGTTGATTAGGCCGCTGTCCACCCAAGTATCACAAGGCCGAGGGAGCCATAAATCTTAATCCACTGATGGCGGCAGAAAGATCCAGGGCCCAGGAGCAGAGGGGGGAAGGACAGTAGGAACAAGAGCCCATATATCACTGCCAGCCCCTGGCAGCAAGGCAGCGGGTCACAGCCCACAGCCGTCACTTCGGACTCCAGGCGCCAGAGCTGGGGTCTCGGGGAGGGTCTTGGGAGAGCTGTGGGCTGTTGGGCAGCGTGGACGCCTCTGACCTCTGCCCTGGAAGCCTCGGTTCTGTGGCCTGAGGCGGCCCCTCCTGGGGGGCAGCTTTGCCCACGGTGCGTCCTGACTGTTGGGCGAGACCAGGGGAAGGGGCAAGTGTCCTGGGCTGGTCAGCGGGCCTGGGCGGGGGTTGGGAGGGTTTTGTGAGGCTGCTGAGGAGACCTAGCAGCAGAGGGTGCAGGGGACGAGGTGGGGAGCGAAAGGGGCAGTCACCAGACTTGGGGTGGCACTGGGACAACATGGGGTCCCTGCTGACCAGCCACAGCTAGGTGACCGTGTGGCCCCAACCCCTCCTGGCAGGCCCCGCTATACAGGACAACCCGGGCAGGCACAGGGCTTGGTCCCTCCCCAGTGGGGTGGCCCCTGAGCACCGGGGACTCTGTCACCCTGACCACTCCACCTGCCTGTGGCTGCCGAGGGCGTCAGGACAGACTGCCTGTCCCCAATACTGTCTCGAGGACTTCATTCCATGGAACTTCCCCCATCCCTCCAATACTCGGGACCGGAGGACAGGGATCCCGTGCTCTCCTCCTGGTGGTGACGACACGCAGCTGGGCACAGTCTCCACCAGCCACTCCCAGCCTCCTCTGGGAGAAGCCGCGGGGCCCTCAGGCTGCTCGAGGGCCGCCAGGGCAGGACCTGCAAGGGACAGCCTGGCCCTGCCTGAGTCCCGCGGGCACCTTGTGCAGGCTGCCCAGCCGCAGCCCAGGCCTTGCCCCGAGCAGCCAGTGAGCCAGGGACACTGAGGCAGTGGGTGTGATGGAGGTGGCTGCTCAGGGGAAGCCAGGGGACAGGGAACAGGGTGCACACAGGGGCTGTGGGGACCAGCAAGGAGAAAAAGCGGCCTCCAAGCCTCCCGCGGGGCTCTCCTGCTGCCCCCTGTCCCCTCCTGTGTCCACTCGGGGACTCCTCACATCCAAGCCTCTAAGGCGGGGGGGCGGGGCTTAAGTGCCGCAGTCTGACTGGGCACAAAATAACCGGGAGGTCACGAGCCACTTGTAGGTTCAAACAGCAACTACTTTATTCCCAGAACACAACGGGAACTCTCCAGAACTCCACGGAAAAACTGCGAGAACCAACGGGAACTCAAAAGTAGCGGGCACCCGAGGTAGCAGGAGCCGCCTTATCGCCGGACAGCAGAGATTTATACACAACTGAATACACAGCTTGTTTCAATTTAGCATCATCCAGTTACAGCAATCATCACCATCCCAATAACCACACACAGCTTAACTTAATCACCATCATCTTAATGGCTCGCCAGTGTCACCTCTCAACCACTCCTTCTGGCAAAATGCCAGGCGCCATCCTGACTCGGGCCGTGGCTCCCAACACTTAAGGCCTTTTGTGAGCCTGACACCATCTGCCACCACACACTGGCTACCCTGTCTCGTTCACCCAGTACCCGTGTCCCTACTGTGCCCTTCACCAGGGACACTCTCCCCAGATCCTCCAGGGCCACCTCTGCTGGACGCGCAGGCCTCCAATGCCTGCCCACTCACGGGGTCTCTGGGCGCCGCCTACCTCCCCGTGTCTTCCCCTAGCACCTCCCGGCTCCCGGCTGGCTCTTCTGCACCTCCCCACCTGCTCCTGGGAACAGCCCGGGAGAGCAGGCGGGCCTCATTCCTGCCCTGGCCCCGGCCCCCAGGAGGCCCAACACTTCATAGGTGCTCCACAAACAGTCACAGAACGAGTGGGGACTGGCAGACTACAGGGACATACCAGAAGGAAGAGCCCAAGGTCCCCAACAGGAGTCCCCCTTGCCCTCTGCCCCTCTGTCCACTGCAGCAAAGCTCGGTACTATTTACTGGCCCTTCTCAAATTTCCGCAGACCCCAGCTCGGCTGATCTGCTGACTAGCTGTGAGGAGGGCACTGGTGCCACTCCCACCACAGTGACCGGGAAGCAAGTCCTCGATGCCACCAGGAAGCCCAGAGCTGCGCTCTTCCCACTTCTCTGGATCCATCTGTCACCTGTCACCAGGTCCTCCTAGCTGAAGAGGCAGAGTCCCTGCCGCGGGACCCCCTGTGACACCACTGCCCACATTCATTCTCAGCAGCCACGAGAAGGTTCCTGGATGACAGAACCAAGGCTCAGAGAGGCTGCATCCCCAGCTCGGGGCACACAGCAGGGAAGCAGACCACTGACCCCCGACTCTCCAGGGCCACAGACTCTGAACCAGGTGGGCAGCGGACCCAGGCACGAGGACGAACCGCAGGTCCCGCTGCTGCCCTGACTGGAGTGGGGGCACCCAACAGGAGGGGAAAGGCCCAGAGTCGGGGCCAGGTCTTCCTGTTTTTCAGGGAAATAGGAATCTAGGTTTTTAATATAAAATCTTTTGAATTAAAAGATTAGCAAGGACTAAAGTCTTTTAAAATTATGGGGTGCGGAAAGGTTATCTGGGGCAAGCTGGACCCAAGCTGGACACGGTCCCTCCACAGCCATCGACAGGCAGCAGAAATCTCGAGGGGGCACTGGGCCTGCTTTGGTCCATTAACCCCAGGACCCTGCACACGCCCGGGCCCTGGCAGTTGCCCAGAAGTGTCATTAAGTCACGGGATGACTTCGTACACGCGTGCCTCCTGGCCCACTCTGCCACTTCTAGTGTGCTCTGCTCACCTGGGTCTCGGGGTGGTACTCTTGGGACCACAGGTGGGCAGAGTGGTCTGCTGGGGAGGGACCTGCCCGACCCCTTCAGTCTGGTAGAGGCCAAGGAGCCAAGTCCCGTGTCCACAGGTCCCTCTGGCTCTGGTTCTGGGTGCGACTTAGGTTCAGCCAATCAGAGCCTCCCAGGAGACAGAGCAGGAGGGGACAGGGACAGATGCTGGTGCTTCTCTGCTGAGCACAGCCATGCGGGTGACAGGCCCCAGGGCCCTCTGGGCCCATGGTGGTGTGGTGGCTTCCTGATCCCAGGCCGGGTGGCGGTCCCTCCTGCCTGACTGTGTCTGGCCACGGCTCTCCTCGCAGGCCAGGGAGGGGCAGCTGCGCTTGCTGGACCTTGTTCCCAGAGCCTCGCTCAGAGCCGCCGGCCACCAGGCCGGAGCACCCATGCCCGACCCTGCATTCCACCCGAGCAGGCTCCTGGTCAGGCACTGGCTGACCCCGACTGAGAACAGTGCAGAAGGACAATCACTGCCCCCGAGTCAGGAAGCCAGGAATCAGCCGAGATCCGGCCTGTGAAGCGGGGGCCACGGGGAGACTGGGGACGGGAGCTAATGAATCTCAGGCCAAGTCTTTTAAATGGCACAGACTCTGGGGCCAGCTGTTAAGTCACAGTCTCAGACACAAATACGGCTCTGGGTAATAGAAGGCACTCGAAACAACGGGAGAGCGACTTGAGTGGGAAGAGGAGAAAGGCCTCATTAATGAGAAATTAACAGTCATTGCTGGGGACAAAGGGAGGTCTCCAGGCTGCTGCCCTGCGGCTGCGCGTTAGCCCTGAGCCAGGCAGGAACGCCCCTCCACAGGGCCCCTGAGGGGCAGGTGGAGAACCAGAGTCCGCTGCCCTGCTGCCCTGCTGCCCTCTCCCCTTAGTAGCCATGAGGCTCCAAGCAAACTGCCCTACGTCTCTGGGCCTCAATTTCTGCAGGGGCTGTGCAGACAGGCTGAGCCGACGGAGCCCACGTGCGCCTTGCCACGGGCCCATCCACTCGGTCCAGTGTGAGACGCGGCTGCCCATCTTGGTGAGCGTGAGACGAACACAGTAACAAGGAAACCCGGGCCGGAGCCCACCCGGTTAGCCTTGCCGGGGTGGAGCCTGACCATTTGTATCTTCACCCCCCAGGCAATCTGCACACGCACCCTGCACCGGGGCTGAGGAAGGGGTCCTGGTCCCAGGTAAGGTGTGCAGGGAGGTGTCGAGGATGACGTGGAAAGAACAGAACGCGGAGGAAAGCTGTGTGTTTGTGTCTCAGTTCTGCCACTTCTTACCTGTTGACCTGGAAAAGCCCAGTGAACGTCTCTGAGCCTCTGTCTCCCTCACTCCCTAAGAGGAGGGACGACACTGGAACCCACCCTATAGGTCCACTGTGGGTGCAAAGGAGAGTTGTCACGCAGGACCTCAGGCCACGCCTGCATCCTGTCCTGAGGGGTGGGGGATCAGCAGCACCCACGTGGCACTACTTCTAAGGGGCAGGGGCTTTGTCAGTATATCCCTGGCATCTAAGACCATGCGTGGCACATAGTAGGTGCTCAATTTAATAAAAAACTGGACGAATGAGTCTTCATGAAGGGGCTGTGTCTACCCTTCTGTCCTCCCAGTGGGGCCCAGTGCAGAAGGAGGACATGCAGCAGAGGGGACCCCGAGAAGCCAGTCCCATGCTCGGGGGGGGGGGGGCACCCCTGCCTGCCCAGCACACCCACCCACTGCCCAAGGGCTTCTAAACCCTTGACTATGTCTGTCCCCACCACGGCCCTGCTCCAGATTCTAAGGCATGAGCTGGGCCCAAAGTCGGGATCTGCCTGCGTCCCCAGACCTGGTGCCATGCTCGGCGCTGGGCCTTGCGTCTTACGATGTCCTCAGCTTCTCGAAGTGGGAGTCTCCGTCCATGATCTGCACCAGAGAAGGGGAGGGAGGCTGGTGAGACACCAGCAGTGAGCGCAGACACTCCACGGGAGGCCGAGGTGCGTCTCCCTGGGCGAGGCCTCTGACTGCGCATATGCCCAGCGGCCTGTCTGGGGCAGCGAGCTGGAGAGTGCAGGCCAGGTGCCGGGAGCAAGGGCACATCTTACCATGGAGTGACGGGACAGTGTCCAGCCAGGTCAGGCAGCGCGACCCATGTGAAGAACAATGGCCAAGACGGAGAAGCAAGGGACAGGGACGGAGCATGCATGGGACAGGTTCCCAGTGTGCGAGGGGGAGAGCACGGCAGGTTTGCCAAATGACCACACGTGCAGTTAGGGCGCAGAGCAGCGGGCTGTGACCTGTGCGTCCTCCTTTTCTGACTGCTGCTGTCCTCCCTGCCGCCTAGGAGAGTCCCAGCTCCCCTCTCTGCCCGGGGCCTAGGAAGCTCAAGGGCAGGGTTTTCCCCGGGAACCTCCTGGGACCTGACTTCCCCCTTCTCTCCTTTCCTGTGGACGGTGGCTGGAGAGTGCGCCTCGTCCAGGAGGCAAAGAATCAGAATATCACAAACTAAGGCCACTGGGTGCTGGACACTTTGCATTTTTTAAACATGTCATTAAATCTCTGTGGCAAGCCTACAAATGGGCGTGATTAATCCCCATTGTAAAGAAGAAGAGACCGAGGATCAGAGAGCTCGCAAGTTGCCTGAAAAATCAAAGCTGGAGATTGCAGAACAGGCCTCGTTCAAATCTCGCTCTGTCTTGTGCCAAATCCTCTTCTTAAAACCTGGTAGTATCCTGGCCTCTCAGAGGGGGCTTTTCTTTTTAAATTTTTTTTTTCCTTTGGTACCAGGGATTGAACCTAGGGACACTGTAGCTCTGAGCTACATTCTCCATCTTTTTTATTTTATTCATTTTTTTTAGTTGTAGTTGGACACAATACCTTTACTTTATTTATTTATTTTTATGTGATGCTGAGGATCGAACCCAGTGCCTGGCACAACCCCAGCCCCCCTTTTTAGTTTTTGAGACAGGGTCTTGCTAAGTTGCTTACGGCCTTGATAAATTGCTGAGGCTGGCCTTGAACTTGCAATCCTCCTGTCTCAGCCTCCTGAGTTGCTGAGGTTACAGGCCTGCCCGGCAAGCTGCCTGGCTTGAAGGGCACTTTGGCACCTGGGGTAGGTACCTGTGTTATGTGGGCCCTGCTGATCCATTGGGTCAACCCCAGACCATCTTGGTGCCTGTGCTGAGCCAGTCACAGGACAGGGAGCTTTGCCATTACTCAAGGCATTTCGGGCTTTTTAAAAATAGGGCAGACAAAATCCACTTAAAATATGAGGGGTGTGGATTAAGTCAACGCAGAAATGAACGGTGGAATCGGGTATTAGACAGGGGTCAGGGACTAACGCTAAGAAATATTAAGTAAAAACCAGGTGCCATCAAAGTCACCCGGACACCTAGACGTGTCCTTAAACTTCTGACACCGTGTCCCAGGAAACCTAACTAGGAATGCTTGCCCTGGCGGTGTCCGCTCTGGGGACGGGACTGAGACCAGTTAAACAGGAAGGAGGACCCCTGGCTGGGGGGGCGCAGCGGTGGGGCAGGCACGGCAGGGTGAGGCCCAGTTCCCACCTCCCACTGCTGGGGAAGGGGAAAGAAGAGAAGAGGGATCTCTCCCTCTCTCCCTCTCCCTCTGATAGTCTCTCTGGCCGAGGGCCATGGTCAACTCGGCGTGTTAACTAGTTGTCATGGCGTAGGGCAGGGTCCCCCACTCCCTGATCTTTCTTTTTCTTCCTTCTCTCTCCTTTGGCCCTCTGTGGTGCTGGGTGGCACCCAGGCCTCACGCGTGCCAGGCCCTGGGCTCCCCGGCCAGCCCTGAGTCTCAGCGGACAGCCCTGCTGCCTGGCCCGGGGCTGTGCTCACCAAGCGGGCCCTCGGCGTGCGCGGCCTTCCGCGGGGAGGTCCTGGGCTCCGAGTTGGCCCCGTTGACGTAGACGGAGAAGCCCTGCTCCAGGTGCTGCAGCCTCAGCTGCGCGGGGTCCTTGGCTCTCAGATGCCTCAGGATCCTGCAGGAGAGATGGTCGCGGGACATCTGAGCCGCCACCGCCCCAGGCCAGAGGTGAGCTGCTTTAGGAATGGGGACCGAGGGGACGCTGATGGGGGGCTGTGCCCAGCTGGTCACCTACAAACAGCCCCCAGAGGCCGTTTCACACGCGGGGAAGCTGTGTGGGGCCTGCAGGGGACGTTCTGCCACGGTTCTGGGGCTCAAATGCACGTCAGCGACACTGAGCACATGCAGCCCCCCCGGTGGCTGACACAGAAAGGAGGCCGTTCCCTGCCTCACACAGCTGGGTCTCAGAGACCAGCACCTTTGTGCCCGTTTACATTGTGTGGAGAGCAACAGTTTATCAGACGGGTGACTAAACGGGCCTAGGGTGGAGGCCCTGTGGGAGGCCTCTCATGTGACACGGCTCATCAGGAAACAGCCTTTGCCACACGGGGCAGCCTAGTTTTTTTTTCTTGAGTGAATATATGTGTTCCCGGTCACCCCCGATATCTCAGGTGCCACCATTTCACGCCCCAGGGAGGCTGAAATACATCAGCGGGGGCGCTGGCTCATGATGGATGATATGATGTCACACCCCTTGGCATGAGTGTGGCCAGGTCTCCGGGTGAGCTATCCCTGGGCCCCCGCCTCACATTTCACACCTGGCCTTGACACACTCCTGACACTGCACTGCCACCAACCATAGAGTGTCCTTGTCAGCCCTGCCAGAACTGCGGCCACGGGAGGCCACACTCTGCAGGGCCTACCCAAGCACCTCCACACCCGCAGCTTGGCCAGATTGACATAGAAAACCAATGGTCAGGGCTAGAAATATGGACCTGCCAAGTCAGAAAAAGGTACACTTTCAAAAATAACTGCAATCAGACAGGTGCGGTGGCGCACACTTGTAATCCTGGCAGCTTGGGAGGCTGAGGCAGGAGGATTGCAAGTTAAAGGCCAGCCTCAGCAACTTAGTAAGATCCCAAACAACTCAGTGAGACCCTGTCTCAAAATAAAACATAAGAAGGGCTGGGGATGTGGCTCAGTGGTTAAGCGCCCCTGGGTTCAATCCCTGGCACCAAAATAATTAATAATAATAATAATAGCAATCACATAAAAGGTGACCACTGCGGGGATCTGGTCAGCCAGGCAGGGAGCTGCCCCGCTTCCCTCCCCTGGGCCTCCCCAGGGTCTCCAGGCCTGAGGCCCTGGGGAGGCCCAGGGGAGGGAAGCAGGGCGGCTCAAGATGCCCATCTGCGCAGCAGCACTCCTGGGTGTCACTTTGTCACCCCCACTTAACAGATGAAAAACTGAGGTCCAGAGAGGACCAGCTACTGGCCCAACATCACCCAGCTGGTTGGTGGCAGGGTTAGGATACAAGTTTAGGCGATGGCTAAATCAGAGTTGTTACCCAAACAAAGACCTCTTCTAAGTTGAGGAGATGATGCTGAGACGGGCAAACGTAGCCATTGCTGGAAACTCACAGAAGGTTCTTGGAAGAAAGACGGAAACCTAGCCAACGTCACGGAAACCTAGCCAACGTCATACGCCTGGTGCTGCCCGGCAAGCTCCCGCCAGCCGGTTACTCCCGAGATCCACCCTGGGCAAGGAGACGGCTTCAGACAAAGCCCTGAAGGCCGCCCAAACTTCCAACCCAGGGAGGGAGAAGTCGGGGTGTCGTGGAGACGTAATAACTGCCAAGACCCGGTGGAAAGACGGGGCTGTCTGACCTCTCTACAGGCTGGGGGCGGGGGGGACGAAACGATACAAAGGGCCTAGGTACAAGTGTAAATTTGGGGGCAAAAAAAGCGTCTGTGGGCCCAGAGAGGACGGTGACAGACGGAGACTTCAGTCGAGGGGGAGGCAGGCGTGGCGCTGGGGCGATGTCTTTGTTTTCTGTTTAAGTCCCTGTAGCGGGTCACACATCCATCTTGTCACCACGGTGGCAGGGGCATTTATTAGGACTGCTTATCTCCTGCCAGCTGGGAGCCTGGGAGGCGCCTGATTGTTAGGCAACGACAGAAACAGAGGCAAACACAAGTCACCGGGAGACGCTGTCCCCAGATGCCAGGCAGCTCGGGGAGCAAGGGATCAAGGGATGCTGGCCCTGCGCGGTGGAGGGAGCAGCCCGCTGCCCTCCCTGGGCCCAGGGCCTCTCGGTTGCAGCCTCCCGTCCTGGGACCTGGGGCCGGGCTGCACGTGCGTCTCTGCTCAGGCAGGATGATTTATGAAAACGTGGATTCATGAAGCTGATAAATTAGGAGACAATTATTCAGACGGTGAAAGGAATTGCTAAAGGAACGCCCCACCCCCTGTAGCCAGCGCATCAGTGACAGTCAGGTGGCATCAGGGAAAAGGACTCTCTCAAAAACTGATGGGCTACTTTGCATAAAAAGCTGTCCAAGGTGGGGGATTTGGATAAATCTGATCGGTTCCCGCCCCGTCCAACACCAGCCCCCGGCTGGCAGGCCTGTGATCAGCAGCTCAGGAGGCAAGAGGATCATGAGTTCAAGGCCAGCCTCAGCCAACGCGAGGCCCTAAGCAGCTCAGTGAGACCCTGTGTCTAAATAAAATACAAAATAGGGCTGGGGATGGGGCTCAGTGCAGAGTGGCCCTGAGTTCAATGCCCAGGACCAAAAAAATCCCAGGCTTGCCCACCAGCTGGCCACGACCCCTGTCACTACGGACATGTGCTACGGCTTCGTCTGCATGCTTGGCTCTTGTCCCTCCTCTCCCACCGAAGGCGAGCGCCTGGGCACGGGCATCGTCCCGCCAGCGGTGCTGCCTACAGCGAGGACCACAGGACGCTCTCAAGGGCTCCTTCTAGAACCAGCCGCCTAGGGAACTGCGGGCCTAGCAGGGAACGCAGAGGAGCACCCGACCCACAGCTGGCGCCCACCGCGGGCACACCACAGCCGCGGGTCCCACCTCATGCTCATGGTGGCCTCTGGGTCACCGGCACCCAGGGCTCTAGTGCCCAGTGGGGAGGCTCAGGCCCCAAGTTCAGAGTGCAGGGCCCGGGGCGGTGGGGGAGCAGGGCTGGGCGCGGGCACTGCCGGAGCTGGGGGCTTGGGGAGCGTCTCCTCCTCAGGGGCCAGCAGCACAGGGACATGGTGAGGACACAGAAGCACAAGGGACAGCTGCACTGTTGCTCCTGGGGCTGCAGCGTGGGGGATGGGGCTCCTGGCTGAACTGTGGTCCCTGGGCCATTCGAGGCCCAGGACTGAGGTCCAGCCACATGGCTCTCGGGACCTTTGTTACCTCCATCTGAGGGTCAGCTCTCTGCCTGTGGCCTGGGGAGAAGGCGAGTTTGAGATGAGGAGCGGGGAGAACGGCAAACGGTGACCTGGGCACAGGCTGCCCGGCCTCCCACTGCCCCGTCCCCTGCGTCCTTCAGTGGGTGAGTTTAAGGGTGAGCCTGCCCGAGACCCAGGGCCAGGGCAGCCACCCACGCTCGCCCGCCCCGTCCCCCACTCTGCCTCCACAGCGGGCTCAGGGGACAGCGGGCTTCCGGCTGGGACTCAGGAGGGGGCAATGAGCCCAGCTCTGAAGGACATGGGGGGCAGGGCCGGGTCCTGCAGGGCCCGCGCGTCCTCCAGACGCCGCCTCAGAGCGCGGGCCGGGCCGGGTGGGGAGCCAGGGCTGGGGGCGCTGCCAGGCTCCAGCTCCGTCCCCGAGTCCTCCTCTGGGCACCTAGAGTCCATGCTGACACCTCCCGGCCGGCGGAGGACACCATGGGGTCAGTGACGACCGCACCTGGGGCTGGCCCGAGGCCCTGGGCGGGTCCCGCCTCCCTGCCTCCTGCCTGGCCCTCCTCTGGGGCAGCGGGCCCCTCCGCCCTGGGCACGCTTTCCTCGGACAACCCTTCCCCAGGACCAGACGGCCATCGCTGTCCATCGGGTCTGGTGAACAAAGCTGTGTCCCCCATGACCCACGGCAGCCCCTCTGCCGTCCCCCCTTCAATGCCCTGACCTTTCCAGCCACCCAGAGCTTAGCCCTTGGGTCACTCTGGTGGCCCTTTCATGACTCCCGCTGGGCGTGATGACACCCTGCATGCGGCTGGATGACCTGGGACACAGGACAACTTTCTGCTGCTTCTGGTATGGTGACAGGCGCTCACCCTGTCCCTCCCCAGGGAGTGCCCCAGGGCAAGGGCTGGGGGCCACCTGCTGCTCCTGCCTGGCAGGTGGCTCTTCCACACACAGACCTGGACTTCCGTGGGAAAAGCCCACTCCTCTTGCTCCAGTGGCTTGGGGGGGACTGACTCTGCGCCTGCCTCAGTGACCCCTCCCCAGACGTGGGGGTGGTCACTGTAGTGGGGACTGGAGCCAAGCGAGCCCATGGCAGCCTCAGCACTTTCGCTAAGAGAACTGGGAACGAAATGCATCTTCCTTTTGAGGTGGGATGTAAACCGAGGCTTCCCTGGTGGCCTGAGCCTTGGCCAGGGAAGTCCCCACCTGAGAATGACCCACAAAGGGAAAGAGAGGAAGAGATGGAGAATGACTGACTGCAGTGACATAGGGCAAGCCCCTGGATCCAGCCACACCTGAAACCTTGATTTCATGAGCTATAAGTTTCCTAGTTGTTGAATCCACTTTTCTTGGGCTTCTGCCCTTTACCACCTAGAGTCTGGGGCATCCTCCCTGTGCCAGGTAACGCCGGGCCCTGAGAGGGGCTCGCGAACATCCTGCTGAGTGACTGTCAGAACAAGGTCACCTGGTGCCCGCTCACTCCCTTCTGGGGTTCCAGGCAACCCCGCTGAACAGCGGGGTGTCATCTCCCCGAGGCCTGAGTAAGGCTCAGACGCTGGTTTTCTGCCGTCCGTAGACCTGGTCTCCAGGTGAATTGGTTCAGTCCCTACTTAGTAACGCAGGTGGCTGGCAGCTCGGGGGTTCCCTGTCTGCGGTTATGTATGACGACAGTGCGGCCAGCTGCACCACCTCTCAGCTTGCGAGAGACCGTGGTGTCCCCTCTGTGGCGCCCACTTGGTCCCCTGTACAATGGGCGTCATCACCCGTCTGCCTGGCTGGTTGGACATGTCGGGCTGCGGTGCCGGGCACGGGGTTGGACTCGGCAAAGTGCCCCCGAGGCCCCCACCCATGGCCGGGGCTCCTCCTCTCCACGGCTCGCGGGAAGACCTTTCACCCAGCTCCGCCTCTCGTTTCCTGCCACCAGACGCTCCCTCCTGGTAACAGCCCCAGGTGGCCGTGCTCAGTGCCCGCGGGCTCCGGCTGCCTGTGGCACTGACCTTGGTTCTGGAAACCCTCCCGCGGGCTCGGGTTGGCACCTCTTTGGTGGCACATATTGACCCCCCGATTCATGAGGAACAATTTGCTCATAAGGAACTGTGACACTGTCCCCACGGGTCCCGTGGAGATGATGAAGCCATCACCCCCGTGTCCATGGCCCCACCCGCCAATGACCCTAAGAGCCACCGCGGCCTCACCGGGGGCCTTCCACTGTTCCAGTTTGAGGTCGCCCAGGATGGGGGAGATAAGGGCGCCACCTGGGCACCAGGACACTCTCCACAGAGAGGCGTCGTCACTAGGGGGCATCTGGGTCGGAGGGCGGGCGTTGCCATAGAAACAGGGCTCTTACTGGATGCCAAACTCGGATGCAGGGGACTACCCTGTGCCACGAGAACTTGCTCCACACAGCGCGCCACCAGGGGCCCTGGTGACACACACCGGAGTCCAGCCAGGCTGACGAGACCTAGAGCCACCTGCAGGAGGACAGCCTCCCGGCGTCCCCTACCCTCCCCCAGGGCACAGAGGCCCCTGTGCCCTGCCCTCCTGGCCCGACTGGCCTCCCGCTGGCACTTTAATGTGGACACGTCACCGACACCCTAAAGCCCAGGGGATTTCACACAGATTCTGGCAAACCTGGAGGACCTGGACCCTGTGGCCCGTGTCCCCACAGAGGACAACTGGCCTGAGCTGAGCAGCGTGGGTGGGACAGCTCCCGGTGCCACTGTCACCTCCAGTCAGCCTCACCTCCGCCCGGCCCAGACCCACACGGTGCTTGGCTCTGCAGAGGGACCCAAGGAGGGACACACGCAGGCCACCACAGCTCTTCAGACCCACCACCCGCTCTGACCTTGACCTGAGAGGTTTCAAGGAGTCAACATCGGCCCCACTGACCCTCGACACAGAGAGAACCGAGTCCACCTTGACGTAACACGGGTCAGGTGTCACGGGCTGTCACAGCCTGTGCGGTGGCAGCCTGGGCTGCTGAGGTGACTGTGGCACAGTCCCTGCAGCCTTCTCCCGACACTCACGGTCCCCAGAACAGAGGCCCACGGCCGCCCCCTCCCCCCCACCAAGCAGGCTGCCCAGGCTCCGTCACAAGATGCAGTGGCCTCAGCGAGGGGAGGGACAGGGCTAGGGCTGCAGGGGTAGCCCAGCCCTGAGCGGGGACGCGGCCCCCCCGGCTGACACAGGCCCGCGTGCGCTGACAAACCTGAACGGGTCTCTATGTGGCGGGACGAGGGCCGCCGGGCGGCTGCACTTACCGGTTCCTCTGCTGAAGCAATATTAAATACTCATCGTGCCTCTCATCAAAGTCTGTCACCATGTCCTTAGTGTCACCCTGAAAGGAAGAAACAGAGCGGTGTGACACCGGAATGCAGGGACGCCTTCACTGAGACCAGCGCTGGCTGCGCGCACCACCCGGGAGGCTGAGAGGCGGAGGCCGAGAGGCAGAGGCCGGGCTCCCTGGGCGCGTCGCTCGGGCGACCCAGGGCCCCAGAGACCGTCTGAGGGCCCAGAGGGCCTTCGACACGCGCAACTTCCACCGTCGACCAAGGGGCTGGTTCCGGGGCTGGCTCCTGTCCATTCCTCGTGTGCCTCTAAAGTCAGGGGCCTGCCCTGCCCTGGGCCTTAGCCGTCTCTTCTCTCAGCGCTCATGACGTAGGGGCTGGACTGCGTGTCCAGGGGCCGCCCAGGCCAGCTGTTCAAAGGGGACCTCGTGCTCTCTCGGCCATTGCAAGAGGAAGGCTGCTTATCACACACACCGCGGCCGTTACAGAAACAGACGCCCTGAGAGCGAGGGCCGTGGGGACAGCGGCCATCTGCACCTCCACCTGTGGAGACAGGGCTCTGTGGGAGGCCACTCGGGGCCCTGCTTCCTTCCTGCCTCTGAAGTTCTCTGTGCTCCTCCTGGGTCACGTGGCCTCAGCTCAGAAGCCAGTCGTCATGGAGCTTCCCTTGGCCACAGCCGAGTCCTGGTTTAGGGGTGGAATGACCAAGTCCGCCTGGGACTTTGATGATCCCTAAGGAAGGAGCTGCCCTCTTTCCCCTGGGGAGCTGGGCAGGTGACGTGCGGCCTGCAACTGCCTGAGAATAAAGCCAATTAAAAAGACAGCAGATCCAAGAGACGGAGAGACGCAGGTTCCTAACGACACCATTTGAGTCCCTGGGTCCACCCAGGCCTGAAGAATGATCTGGACGATACATTCGTGGCTTTAAAACTCCAGGTGAGCCTCTGTGCTCTCTTACAGATTTTAAGTAATAAACCATGATCTGACCACCAGAAACAAGCCCTGATACAATTATCACTGCTTTATGGAGGAACGATGAACGCGTGATACCTAGATACACGTCGAGTGACACACGCATGCGCCAGTCAAGCCTCGGTTATCATTTGATGATATTCCTCTGGACGCTCTCCTTTGCTCACAGCGTACACAGACGTCTGCACACACACGCACACACACAGACACACACACACACGTTCTTGTAAACAAAAAGGAGGTCACACTACAAACATATAATCTGTAAACAGCTTTGTGATTTGCTGCTTCTTAAATAACTTTTTGACAAGAGATGGATTAAAAATACAGTGTCAACTTGGCGTTCGTCACGAGTGACAGAGATCAAGATCTCTGTAGTTGGCAAATATGGCATTTGGAACAGAAATGCGGTTTGTGTGAGAATCCTTCTGATCATCAGGGGAAGGAAAAAAAGAAAGGAATTTCTACCATTCTCTCCTTATCGTCCCCAAATCTGTTTTAACCCTATTAGTCTACTGGAACCCTCCCTCAGGGGGACCTGGGCCCACCTCAGACGGTCCCCACCCTGTGATGGTTTGGCTTTAGCGATGCACAACTGTTCCGTCTTTCAATTTCAGTTCAGTGGTCACTGAATTCCACTTGGTTAGGAACCAGGTTTTATAGATGGTGTGAGATGGTCTCACCCAGATGAAGGCTGCTGTTCACCGTCCCAGCAGGTTCACGGCAGGCGGGGCTAAGTCACGGTGGTTGCTGGGTTAGGTTTATCAGATGCATTTCCTTTTTCTTTCTTTTTGGTACTGGGGATTGAATCCAGGGGGGCTTAACCACTGAGCAGCATCCCCTGCCCTTTTTAATATTTTAGAGACAGGGTCTCATTAAGTTGCCTAGGGCCTCACTAAACTGCTGAGGCTGGCTTTGAACTCGCGATCCTCCTGCCTCAGCCTCCTGAGCTGCTGGGATTCCGGGCCAGCGCCAGTGTGCCCAGCCTAAGTGCGTTTTCAATAACAGTATTTTCAACTTCGATGGGCCTATTGGGGTGTAGCCCCCTGTAAGTGGGGGCGCCCTGTGTAATGCTCTTCTCTCCTCCTCCTCGGTGGCTCTGGGCTGTGGGGACTTACTGCTGACCTCCCCTTCCCCACTCTCGACTTTGGCAGTGCTGCTTCTGGTGGCCCTTTTGACCTCTGCTGTGCATGGTCAGTGTCTGTCTGTCTCCTTCTGCCTTCACATCTCCCTCCAGTTACAAAAAGTGGGGTCCTCTGGTGGGGATCCCAGAGTCACTCCTAGGGCAGCTGAGGGCCCGATGCCCCCCTCCGCCGCGTGCTGTAGGCCCCGGACGCTGCAATCTGCTTATCTTACCTCTCCCCTGACCCCCTCTCTCCAGAGCCACGGGGAGAGGACACACTGCGGCCACCTCTCCTCGTCTCCTGACGTCTGTGGCTCCTGAGCCTCCCTGGGCCCTGCCAGCTAACCTGGCCAACCAGGACCATGCCATCGTAAGAAAGGGTGGTCTCAGAACGTTACCAGAATCGTTTAAAGACAACTGGCAGTAGTCACTGGCTCCCTGACCTCTCTGGCTTCCTGAGGTGCCCACGCAGGCTGCTCTGTCCTCCCCTGGCTCTGGGAACCCACCTCATCCTGGGTGTTTGGAAGGCACAGGAGGCCTCAGCCCTCGGGGGCAGCGGCTGCAGGACGCTGGCTCTGGGGAGAAGGCTCAGCGCCATTCAGAAGGACAACGTGTGTGACGAGGACCATTCACGGGGCATTTCCATAGACATGAGTCTCCTTTGATCTCCAGGCGACTCTCGCAGTGGTCATTATTGCTCCATTTAGCAGACAAGGAAATGCATCTGTGCATCTTCCCGGAACACAGATCCTTCCACCGCAATTTACATGACCATTTTGAAACACCAAAATGACCGCGGATACATTATGGAACGGAATGAAACATTTGATGGCATTTTTAGAAGAAATAGGGACTTCAAAGAGTCCAAGTCTGTGCTGGGCTGGCCTGGCCCTCTCCCCACCCGCCAGGGTGAGCATCTAACTCTCCTGCGCCAGGAGGGAGATGTCATCAGGAAGACTGGAAGGGACAAGGCCAGCCAGCCAGCCTTGCTGCTTCTCGAATGCTGATGTGACAGAGCACCTGGGCGTGCGGATCCGACTCCGCGGGCCCGGGAGGGGCCCAAGGGCGCAGTTCACATGAGCTCCTGGTCTGGCATGGGGACCACACTTAGAGGAGCGAGGCCCGCACTAGCCAGCGTGACCCCTCGCTCTTCTCCTGACCACCACCCGGTCAGCTGGTCTCTGAGCTGGCCTGGGGAACATGAGCTCCGAGTGCTCCCCCGGCTCCACGTCACAGTGCGGCCACCTCGCTTCTCTGTCGATACAGTCAGTGGGTGACGTGGGACCTGCCTGCTGTGGTTTGGAAATACACGGCTCAGGATGATATCTGGGCCCCAGGGTAACAGCACGGGAGGTGGTGGGACCCTACGAGGTGTTTGGGTCGTGAGGGCTCTGCGTGCTTGAGGGGATGGGTGAGGCTGGGATGGGCCACGCCTGCAGGAGCAAGCAAGCACTCATTCTCCCGAGACTGGTCAGCTTCTGTGAAGCGGGTTGTCACCCAGCCGGGCTGTCCCAGGCACGTGCTTGCCCTTCTGCTTTCTACCATGTTCTATTCTCTTCCTCCTGGCTCCTGGGCTGAGGCCCACGGTGTGTGTATGAGGCACGAGCTCTGCGCTGAGCCACATCCCAGCCCCCCATTCCACCATGTTCTGCTGCTCCTTGCTGGGAGCTGTGGCCATGCCCTTTGGTCTCCCCACGCTCCAGAACCAGAAGCCAAATAAATTTCTTTTCTTTATACATCACCCAGACACAGGTATTCCACTATAGCAACAGAAGACAGACTAAGACAGGGTTAAATGTAGAGTGGAGGTCGTAACAGTGGGGAGGACTTAGTAAAGCACCCATCACTTATAAAGTTCTCGAGATGACCCCTCACTAGTCACATCGACACTTACAGAACTTTGTTACTGAGAGAGTATGAATCCCAGCCCCTGCCACCCCACCTGGTGCTCGCCCCTGACCTGCCTTCTGAATTACCTTCCAGTCTCCAAAGATTCTCCAGACTCCAGCTCAGTTCCAAAGTCCCCATGACCCCTCCCTTGCCACCCTCACCCCCATCCCTTAAGTTCATCCCCAAACCCTTCAGTTAGTGTTAAATTATATACAATACACTGGGAAATGGCACAGAATTAAGTGAACATTGTTAGCATCTACATAAACTGCTCACTGATTATCTGGGGATTTGGAGACTTGTGTGTGTGTGTGTGGGGGGGGGGGATCCTGAATTCTATTTACCTCTCCTGAGCCTCAGTTTCCTTATCTGCAAAAAGGGGATATTCACACTGTCTACCTCACAGGGCTGCAATTGAATCAACTAGAATAAAAGTGGAAGTAGTTTAGGATCATTTTCCTTCTTGTTTTTCTCCCTTTTTAAAATTTAGTTTTATTTATTTTTAATTTTTTGGTACTGGGAATTGAACCAGAGGTGCCCAACCCCTGAGCCACATCCCAGCCCTTCTTATTTTTATTTTTTATTGTATTTTTTTATTTTGAAACAGGATCTCACTAAGTTGCTGAGGCTGGCCTCAAACTTGTGATCTTCAGGCCTCAGCCTCTAGAGTTGCTGGGATTAGAGGCGTGGGCCACTGCACTGGCTCTGGTTCTTCTTCTTAATTCCCACCTTGGATCACAGATTCCTGGGGGGCAGCCTGCAGCATGGGGGAGGGACAGTGCAAGGGGAGGCTGGGCTTCACGGTGGCTGAAGTTGATCAAGCACTTTCCATGGGCCAGGCCAGGCCAGGCCCCCCTAACCCTTTCCATGCCTGACTTAGCTCACCATCGCCACGCGCCTAGTGGGGCTCAGCTCCGCCTCCCTCGCAGGGCGCTGCATTTTGCTGAGGCTTTAGTTCCTTGCTTATAGAATGAAGGTAGGAAAACCTAAGCCACCAGCAAAGGCGTCACCTCCCTGCAGAGGGCCCAGTTCATCCCCACTGTCTTCCATGGACATTTATCAGGT